TAAAATTTATGGTTGTCTCTAATAAAAAATTTATTTCTTAAAACCAAATTTGTTTGCCAAAAGGCTCAAAATGGCAAATCTAACCTTCTATATTTTGAAGTTTTTTGGAGGAGGGGAGGGGAGGGGAGGGAGCAGGCTGCCAGACCCTCTTAGAGGTTCATGCCTGTGGTACTCGCTTCTCCCGCCGCCTACTTTTATGTTTCAGCCGTCTACATCAATACTTATTGAGAACCCTGCAATGTGAAAGTGGGTGCTGGCGTCAGAGCTTGAAGGAAATGAATGGTATAATAGGGGTTGGTGTGGCTTTTTAAAGAAGAATTATGATTTTTCCAACTAGTTTAATTTTAAAGGGCTTTTGTGAAACAACAACAGCAAACGACAACGTGATGTTGTGCTCGAGGAGTTTTCTTTTGACTCGAAGGTTGAAAAACAATTAGACTTGACGGTCGAATGGATGCTCTCCACGGATGAAATCGACTCAGAACTTGTCTCAAAGCCCAGCCATTTGAGTTTTGCAGTTGAATGGTTAGCTTCAACGAGCGATCCATATTTTGTTGAATGGTTAGCTTCAACAAGCAATCCACATTTCGAATCTATGATTGCAAGCTTTTCTTTCGCCTCAACGGGTAAATGCAACTCAATGGTCGAATTATTTACCTCAACGGGCAGAGATTTTGACTCAACGATCACATTTAACACCTCAACGGGCGAAGAATACGGTGAATGATTTGCCTGTGGTACCAAAATCGCTTTCGACATAAAGCAGGTTGGCTTCACACTTTCCTCTCTTTTCTCCCGAGACCAGCAAGCTGCAGTCGGCAGTTTACTCCGAATGGAAGCATTTTTGCCTAACACTTCACTGCTGCTGAATGCACTGAGAAAAAAGTGATCTCCGTGAAGTAGGACTTAAGCGATATCTTGGCACCTCTATTCGTGAATCGGCAAGAATTGCTCACATAATAGAGCAGCCAAACACATAAAAATCTCTTGTCTTCCTCGAGAGTCACCATTAAACCGTTCATGACCTTGATGAATACTTCAACAAGCAATTAAAGACATCTTTATTAAAAACTCATCTCGTTGATCGTGTCCTTGATTTCAAGTAGAGAAGGATGGCTGTACACAGCTATTGCTCGAAATCGATCGATATTTCCACGTGCACTTTACGTGATGTCATCACACGCACCCTGGATATAAACAAAGCAATCGACTGCGCATGTCTCCGATCTTACATCCGACAAATTTTGGCTTTTTCTCGCTATTGTAAAGAATGGGCTGCTGCCTCGCTTGGGTTCGCCTAATAATAATAATAATAATAATAATAATAATAATAATAATAATAACAATAACAATAATAATAATAATAATAACAATAACAATAATAATAATAATAATAATAATAATAATAATAATAATAATCCTTTTACAATAAAAATCTGCGATAAAATATTGGAAAGCATTACACGACGTTTCCAGAACGTCATTATCAAGTGAGAATAAAATGACGAAGCTAAGATATATCTAGATGAGAAAATGAATAAATTAAGATTCATTGAGGGTCAAGCCTTAATGGAGTCACTCTAATAATAATAATAATGATAATAAGAATATGAAGAATAAGAATGATAATGATATTGATAATAATAATG